CATGGCCAGATCCACGTCCCAACTTCCTGCGTTTGGGTCCAGGGTATTTGTAAAGTTGGCCGGATCTTCTACTGCGTCTTCCATAATTCCAAATGCATCCTTGAACTTTCCGGTGAGAATCTCCAGGACGGTGATGCCGAAGGCGTAAATATCAGTTTGCTGAGTGAGGACTGCAGTGCGCAAAAATTCTTGAGCCACTTACTGAGCGTCAACTGATTCAACTCGATAAGGCACAGGCATTCCAGGTTCCACATCGTCGTCATCCTTAACGTTTGCGGCAATCAACGCGGCATCAGCCTCTGCGAGTTTTGTCACAAAACTGCTAGTACCCAAAAGGATGTTTTCGGGCTTGATGGCACAATGGATGATAGGACCACCTCCTAGTGACTTGCTGGAGTGAAGGAAGGCCAAGGCTTGGGCAACCTGGGCCATAATCTGCAGGCGGGTGTACCACGGCAAGAAGCCCCTTCGTGACCCATCGGTGGAGGAAATCCACTCTTTCACATTTCCATTGGCCATGTGCTCATAGACGAGACAATTTCCTCTGTAGCACACTCCTAGCATCTTCTGCATGTGTGGGTGCTGAAGAGACTTCAATTGGTCAACAAGCTCCCTCGTCAATTGCATGTGTTTGTTATGTGTCCCATTGTTTCCTCGCTCGAATCTCTTTACCACGACGGGTGTGATTTTTCCCATGTAAACACATCCGTAATGTCGATGTTCGAGTTTGCACTCATCATGAAAGTCATTTGTGGCACTCTTCAATTCATCCAGGGAAAATTCTCTGAATGGATCTAAGTCCACTTTTGGAACCACGCTGGGCACTCCGTCAAACCTTTCCGATCTCTCTCCTACGCCGCCTTCCATCTCCAGCCTGGATTCCAGTTCTTGAATCCTGACCTTTGATCTCTCCATTCTTTCTTTGAGTTCCTCCCTTTCTGTCAACAGATTAATTATTTGACTGTCCAACTCGCTGACTCTTCCCAAGTCCATGCGTGTTTCTCTCTCATTCTCTGATCGAAATGTTTCAAGTCTCTCTCCTAATGCCTTCCTCTCCAACCTTATATTGCTTAGCTTAGTCTCAAGCTCCCTTACCCTTCGTGCAATGGTCCGCCTCTCTTTCTGAAATCCCTCTTCAAGTGCCTTCCTCTTCGCCCTCACAGTTTCCAATCTCTCACGTGCACCTCCCTCGATCTCCAACCTCGATTCCAAATCTTGAATCCTGGCCTTTGATGACTCAAATCTCTCTTTGAGTGCCTCCCTTTCCACCAATAGATTGCCTATTTCGTTTTCGAGTTGCTTCACCCTCTGTGAGTGAATGCCTTCTTTCGTCTCATATTCCGATTGCAATCTCTCAAATCTCTCTCCTAATGCTTGCCTCTCCATCCTTACATTGCTTAGCTCAGTCTCAAGCTGATTTACCTGTTGTGTATGTGTTGCCCTCTCTTTCTTAAGTACTTCCTCCATTGCCCTCGTCTTTGCTCTCACAGCTGTCAACTCGTCCGCTAGTCTGTCAATGCTATGTACATTCGTTTCCCCAAACGAGAGGCTTTTGTCTGATTCTAACATGGTCACTCTCTTCACGAAGTCCGGTTTGGGACCGTCATTCTTGGTGCTTACCGTAATGAAACGTAATGTTTTCTTACAGGAAAGCACAAACATACAATCATCCCTACAGAAAACGCCGCCTGACAATCCGTCTTGGCCACTGCAGAGTGTATATTGTAGCTGATAATTGGAATCGCTCCATGCCATGATGGTTCCATCGCTGGATGCGCTCAGTATGTACGGCAAGTGTGGATGGAAGAAAGCCTGCTCTGCTTGTTTTTCATGCACATCGAGACTGGCCATACATTCTTTTCTCTGATGGTCCCAGACCTGCAGTGCGCCAGATGCATGACCCGCAATGAGAAGTGACGTCTGGGGTCTACTAGCGCAGAATCGCAAGGAAGTAACTCCCTCCCCCTCGGCTTTCCCAGAGGTTGAACTCTCTCCCAACGTTTGGAGAACTGCCATGGTGTTTGCATCCCAAATTTTGATTCTCCCGTCCTGATGGCCAGTCAGAAAAATGTGCGTCTTAAGAGGATGGAAGGCCGTCCTGGTTATCCCAGATCCTGGAGAATGTGCCTTTCCGTGCAAACGATTGTCTACATCCCAAAAGTTAATATTCCGATCGGGAGACCATAAGCCGAAACTCCCTGCGGCCAATATACACCGGGCCGTGGGATGCACAGTAAATGCTGCGAAAACGAAATCCTCCGTGCCCGTGAGTGTTTTCTCTTCCTTCATTCGGAGGTCTGAGGTTTGCAAGATCTTATAGACAGACAGAACCCAAGTTTTTTTGTGCAGAAAGGACATCCTTTCTCCCTTAAGAGAGCTTGGACTAACAGTACCGAATCGTTGTTGCCTAGGAACTTTGCTGTCTTGAGCGCCCCGTTATCACGAGAAAGCAGGGAGGTCACTTGCGTTCCTTCTTCATAATTCCAAACTTGGATCGCACATTTCTCACCCGTATGAATACTAGCGATCCATGGCTGGCGAGGGTGCACATCAACGACTTCTCCCCCCACAGTAATTTCCCGCTCCTCTACCTTCAGTGTGAGCTCGAGTCCCTTTCGGGCATCACTGTCTGCCATATTGGATGGGCAGGATGTTGGGCGCACAAAATGGCTACAAGAGAGCCAAAGAAGCCAGAACGGCGATGCCAGGAACTAAAAAGGGCATTAGTATCAGAACGGAGAGTAACAGAACGGAACGGAACGGAACGGAACAGAACAGAACGGGTGAGCAGAATGGAATGGAACGAGGTACCGGAATATGGACCTCAGCCTTGTTGGCAGAGATGGCAAAGGACGATGAAAAACTCTTCTAGAAGAAGCAGCATCGAGATCTGGAAGCAGAAAGGGACGGCCATAACTCTTCAACGCTTGGTTTGTTTGCCACCAAGTAACAGCAGAAGCGTTTGATGGTTCTGCCGCGAACTTCTGCGCCTGACATCGACTGTGATAGGCTCGTTGCGGAAGGAAGAAGAAGCTAGGAATCTGAGGATCATGGCACACACCCACTTGGGCGTTCTGAACTGAATCTGCCCGCTAGTCCAATGATGCAGTCAGAGACATCCGGTAAAGTCGCAGTCTGAGCATTTCAAATTTGGACTTGGAAGGACCGATGCCCGAGAAGAGAGACCGTGAGACGCGAGTGGCCAACACAGATGTCGGCTCTTGCCAGCCAGAGGGAGCCTGCTGCGTTGTAAGACAGCCCCTCTTCCACAAAAGACGGGGGCAGCAAATCGCTGGGCGTGTGTGTGTGAGGCTATAAACACGTCTGCAGACGCGAGAAATGTCTATGCACAAGGCCTCACAGACACAGAGCACGCGCGCGCGCGTGTGTGTGTGTGTGTGTGTGTGTGTGTGTGTGTGACACACAGAGAGAGAGAGAGAGAGAGAGAGAGAGAGAGAGAGAGAGAGAGAGAGAGAGAGAGAGAGAGAGAGAAACGATGTGGCTGTTGCCTATATTGAACACGGGAGAGAAGGCGGGAAGCCCGCGGTGCTCCTGATTGCCGTACAGACACCCATGGCGAGATTCTGGCCGCACACGCAACAATCCTCCCTATCAGGCATAAACAGATCTGAATGCCACTCAAATCTAAATGCCGATAAACAGATCTGAATGCTACCCAAATCTAGCTGCTAATTAACAGATCTCACGTCCTAATCCTGCCGCCCTGCGAACGGATGAAATAACGACTTTTGAAGAGAGACGAGAAAACCGACTTTCCCTGCCTGCACTGGACCGCCCACCAAAATGCAGCACCCCGCTTCCTCCGAATCTTCGGAATCTTTACAAGATCCGCACCCTTGCAAACACAAACAAAAACGCACCGAAAAAGAGAGAAGGGAAAAAAGGCATCGTGAATACCTTCTATTCAGAAGCACCGCTCGCCAAGTGCTACAAATGGCGTGACACTGTATCATAACATCACTCCGTTTAATCCGTTCGTTAGACATGTAATTTGAAATTCGATGGGGACAACAAAATCGTCGCCCTTTGGCGATTTCTCCCATTTGGTGAGGGCAAGCGGAGCCAAGAAGTCGATCACCATGGGCCTCGCTGCACTACACAACAATCTACATGCATTTGGACCCTTTTTTTACTATGTGCATTCGGACGAGTCCATCATTTTGAATGTACCCGGCCAAGAACGCGTCCAAATCCATGTAGAGTGTTGTGTACTGGAGCGGGTCCCTATGTAGTTTTACCGCTCGCCATATCAGAGCAAAGACAAGTGCGGCTTCGCGAAGAAAGTGGCAGGATACACTCTCCGTTTTCGATTGCAATGCGGTGTTGGTTTCCTCCCGTGTGACACCTCTGCCTGCCTCATGAGTCATGAGTCGTCGCATGTATGACAGATGTGCCGTGTCTGTTCGTGCGTGACACCCCTTTGGTTGCCCCACTCTCCCGACGATCTCCATTTTCCACTGGCCTTTTCTTTTGGCATAGGTCACTTCTTTTCTTATTTTTTTTTTCTTCCGCCATGCTCTGCCACTCACGAGTTTTTTCTATTTGCTACTTTTTTGCAGAACAGGCGAATACAAAAGGCACGAGAAGTTCTAAAAATAGTAAATGGTGTGGCGAGCCGTAGAGAGAGGGAAGTTACTGTGACACAACGTGCTGGGTTTTTACTGGGGATAATCGGTAGAAAGCGCCCACGCCAACATCGTTTCGGTTTTGGACGCCCAAAACTCGGCCGTTTGGTACTACCGGCCCAATGACTTCCATGTGGGGTACTACAGGCCCACACGTAGCTCCAAGGGCCCTAACGGATCATAAATCTGGCTCATAACAGCGCCAGATTCATTTTGATGTAAAAGAGGCCGAGGGTGATACCGCTAAAGTATAGAATGAGGCCCACACACGGTATTTTGAAAAAGAAGGGCCCTACCGGTTCATGAATCTGGCGCAAAAATAGCACCGAATTTTTGAACCGGTGAGATGTGGCCACGGCGTGAAGGCGCCTTTCACCCAGGGGAAGGTTGTATGGGCCGTTAGTACCAAACGCCCGAGTTTCGGGAGCCCTAAACCGGAAAGGTTTTGTCGTGGGCTCTGTCCACCCATTATCCCTGCGCTATTTCGCGTGACCCCAACCATAGTTAAGTTACTGAACTTAACTGCAAAGTGTTAAATGCTGCAAAGTGTTAAATGACAAGAAAAAAGAGGAAAAAAATAATTAAAAAGTCAGAGAAGAGGATTAACATCGCCCCTGCGCAAGGCTCACAACGCGTAAATAGAGAAGTGGTCCCAAAGGAAAAAAAAAGGGAAAAAAAAAGGGAAGGTCATTTTAAATACCCCCGCGGCAAAACCTTTGTACTCGTTCGCCAAAGGTTTTGCCGCGTCGGAGTTCAAAATAACTTTTCCCAAGAAAAAAGGGAATGGCAATTCAATCTCTATCCATGTTGTAGACAAACATAGACTTCAATCCGATGTACACTCGCTGAGTCCTGTAATTTAAACTATCATTTAACTATGTAATTCAGCGATGCCCATACCCATACCCCTAGCCAGCCACTTTTCCAGTCATACAAGATGGGTCCTTGTCCTGTTATGTCTTTTCTTGAGGATCGTTCGCTGAGTCTGTACTATGTACCCTGACCCTGGTCAGATGCTCCCTTCTCTTACAAACCACGAAGGTTATCTGAATCTGATAAAATATCTCCCTGTCTTTTGCTTCGATGAGATCCATTTGAGCTAGTAATGAGGTTTCCATCCGCTTTTGTTAACAGCCTCGCCTCGTCCTGCATGCTAATCTCGAACTTTGTTTTCTCTTTTTTTGTTCTTGTGTCTTTTCAGCTAAGAGAAGTGATTTTTTTTTTTTTTTCCGTTAATAATTTGGACCATATCTCTATTTAAGCATGTCATCCTTCCACAGGGGCCTGGACCCATTAGCGAAGTATTCTACCACTTCGTTCAGGATTTCGATCAGGTGTGGCCTCGAGTGACACAGTACGGCCGTCGAATAGATCGGATCTGGACGGCCTGGTAGTTTCCGAGTGGGGACTGTAAAGATGCCCACCTCCTGTCCAATAAGATGCGTCGAAGAAAAAAAAAAAAACAAGTTGGACTAACTTGAGCATGATAGCTCGTGGCTTTGCGTGGGCGGGAAGTCTGGATTTTATGGGCTCCAAAGGGGGGGGGTTGATTTCCGGACTTCGTTTTGTTTTTTTTTGGCTCTGAGAAATAGAACTTGAAATGTGAAATTCAGATATGGTGGTGGATCTGACAGGAACGCTCCTGTTAGAGGCATCATGAGATACATGGGGATGAATGTATCCCCATACCCATTACTTGTTCATCCTGGTGGCTGTGTTCGTGGACACATCTTATTGCCACGGTACATCACTATGAAGACTTCCCTGAAGGAGATCTTACCAACCCATGAATTGGGGTGCAGCTGTTCTTCATAGTTTTATGTGCTATTTCAATTCATTTTAAATCAGAAAACTATCCATTCATACAAATAAAAAATCACTTTGTATTTTCCAAAAAATCATAAAATTGCTTCGCTAGTGGGTCCAGGCCCCAGGGGCCATGCTAATCTTCTGATTCTTCTCTGTATCGTTTCAATCCTTTTAACGGAACGTCCCGACGGACCAAACGAAGTGATGTTGCACCGCCCATCGCACTAATTATTTTACTTTCGACTACCACAGTTCAATCTTTTTATTTGGGAAAACTTGAAAAAACCTCCCCGCGGCAAAACCTTTGTATTCATTTCACCCCAAACGGGGCTAAAAAGTGCCTCAGGCCCCAAAATGACTTTTCGCATCATTTTTGCACCATTTTCGAACCAAGGCATTTTTGGGAAGGTGCCAGACTTTTTT